TTAAACATGGGATCGCAAAGCCTCAGGTAACACAATCGTTAAGTTTATATCCAGTTTCACTTTCATCTATTTATATATTTTAAACTGAATATACATTTCGCATTTTACAGTCTGTCGTTTCGCATTTTACAGATCTGTAAAATGCGAAATGACGGTTTCGCATTTTACAGATGTGTAAAATGCGAAATCCTCGTTTCGCATTTTATTGTGTCGTTTCGTTTCGTTTCGTTTCGTTTCGTTTCGTGGTTTATGGTAAGCCGTGGTTTAATGAAGCAACTTCTGATAAATAATATACTTATCACGAACTCAAGTAGTGTGAAACAATATATCAATCAAAAAATGTTAACACGATTGAGCAACCATCCAAGTAAGAAAGGTATAAGCGTTAGGTGTTATAAATACCTGAGCAAGAATGATTAAATATYTTTTTCAAACTACCCCTACCAGCCCTGAGTACAAAGCTTTTATCTTCTCACATTTAGGTACGATAAAAAGATAAATGTCGGGAAAATTTGCCAAAACGAGAGAAAAAAAACACTTCCAGTCTTCCTTTCCTTTCATCTTCCTTTTAAATTCCTGCAATTTCAGCAAAATTTTAGTTGATTCACTCATTTATATTGTTATCGATATTTCATCACGGCTCGTGACGACTGACACGAAGTGCGCGACGTTACGATCACGCTTCGTACGCTTCGCACGAATATCCCAGTAACGAGAAAAATTCTTCCTTAACAATAAAATTTTAATCCTCGCTCGCAAATCACTTAACAGCGCTCAAACATCCAGGCTTTTATTTTGTTTTGAATTAATACGATTAATATACAGCAAAAACAAATAAATAAATAAATGCAACTCAGCTTGCCCACCCCACCCCTGGCATTGACGTCACGTGCGCATGCTCGGTAGGTAGGAGGGATGAGTGTGACAAACTACCTCACAGTTGTCGTTTTGATTTGGAATGTCATAGTTTTGACCTGATACTCACTTCTAAAAACACAACAGGCTCTAACAACTACATACAATGGACAAAGGGATATGGTAGATTGGTGTGTGTGGAACTTAAAGGATGAGCTTTAAAACGAGAGCTGCCAGCCTTGGAGAACTCAACGGCGGTCAAGGCGCTAGTGATGTGGCGCAAGATCTCGAGAGATGTAAGAGTGCACGAAGTTTAGAAAAGAAAAAAAGCTTTCGATTTCGGTCCAAGCATAAGGATGAAAACAAAAAACTTTCAAGGACATCCTCAGTGAGGTCTCTCACGAATTTTATCCAGAGATTTGCGGGGAAAGTGTCTGTACAACTTCCTAGAAAAGCTTCGAGTTTTTCGACAGTTGCTAGTGGGGAAGTTTTCGTCGAAGCTTCTTCCTACAAAAAACGGGACGAAGAAGTTGAAAATAAGACTGACAACCCCTGTGATAAAATCCCTGAAGTATTAAGCTTAACGGGGATAAAAAATCACGGTAATACGTGTTTTATGAACGCTATAATCCAGTGCTTAGCACATACAGACTTGCTTGCTGAATACTTCGTACTTGGTAATTACAAACAAGACATGAAACTTCGCAAAGGACAGAATAAAAAGTTCGGAACTAGAGGAGAAGTCACAGAAAAACTAGCTACTTTACTTAGGAACTTGTGGTGTAGTCAGTATAATTCGCAATTAAGTAGTGATTTTAAAGCTGTGGTTGGAAAACACGGCGTACAATACAGAGGTTATGCTCAACACGATGCGCAAGAATTCTTCCTGTGGTTGTTGGACAAAGTACACGAAGACTTGAATCGAGCAACAAAGAAAAAATACAAACCGAATAAGGTAAGATTTCTAAAATCTTAGACATCTAAGATCATAATTCGTATGCCTAGTTATTATATTTGTGGACTGTTTTAACTTCAAAAGGTATTTCCACTTGAATTAAGCAGCTCAAACTATTCCATAATTTTTTTCCCGGTAATCTAATACTACCTCCATGCTCCTACTAAATTTAGATTATAGTTCGAGTAATTACACCGATAACTTTAGAACTTAACTTAATTTAGGTCGAAATGTTTAAAAGAAAATCGAATGACCGCCACGTTTTATTTCCCAGCTGTGATATRTTGTGCTAAAAAAATGCATGGAATTTCTCAAGTTAATCAAATAAAGTTTTCTTGGGTAAATGTATCATAATCACAAAAAGGATTCTGTTAATAGCCAAGAATGGCTACAAAAACAAACCTCAAAGTCTTAATATCAAAAGATGAGTCTATAAATATATCGTTTAGTCATGGGTTTGACCCGCATTTTCAATGGGATATTTTTCTATTATTATTTCAATTTACATTTGCGATCRCGTCCTAGACAGATTTATATATGCTGTTTCTTATTATAACGTGTTTGTTTACTTTATGGTAAGGAAACGATTGTAAAATGTCGAGTATTTTAAAAGAATTTCTACTAAATAGCTCTTAAATTTCTGAAATGGTTTCCAGTCAAAATATTATTCTAGTTACCACTGTGTTTTACAGAAAAAAACTTTTATTTCAAAGCTGGATTGTATTTGGGTTTTTTTCTGTTATTTTTAAACAGGCACTTTTAATTAATTTGGTCTTACTTTTGATTGATGATAGCTAAAATTGAATTGCAATAAAGAGCTAAGATGCTGGAATCTTCATAAGACTGAAAAAAAAAGGTATATAGTAAACCAATACAAAGTATTTCCTGTTGATCTDCTAAGTAAATTTATGCTTCGCTGAATAATCTTTACTACGCAAGTCCTTTGCAATAAGGCACAAGGAAGACAGTTAGATTAAGATATACATGTATTAATAATATGTATACACTTTGCTAGCTATTTGCAAGGTATCCACTATATTCATTTATGTATAATTTTAGACTTGAATTTAGAATTTCGCACACGATTGAGCGACATGTGGTCATGAGACAATATTCACTGGCATTGAGTAAAAATAAAATCTCCAAAGTTAAAGTAATAATTGTTAAAGGTTTTTTATCCTGAATTTTTTTGTTTTTTGCCCTCTGATATTCAATTCTAATACCCCATTCACACCAAGGCTTAAACATGTTTTAAAGTGGTTTAACTAAACAGGTTTGGAAAACTATCTATGAACACTGCACAATATTTGGTAAAATAATGCATGTAAACTATCCTTTGTCTAGCTCTCATAATATTTTAGAAAGTTTCATTATATTGTAGGTTTTTAGTTTCTCAATTTTTTTCCTAATGAAAACATACTTTAACTAAACACGTTTAGGTGTGAATGGGGTATAAAATCATACTAAAACAATTTAAAAAAAGCACCAACACAGCAGATGAAGCTAGACTAGATGTCACTGCTAGAGGGTTTTGGCAAAGGGAGCAACATGAATTTTTTGGTGTGAGGGTTTTCAACCCTTTTGCAAAGAGCCACCTTAACCAGAAACTCACCTCCACCTCTACCAACAATGAGAATGAAAAGAAACGAGAATATGATCATCGTGTCATAGAGGTAGAACATGGCTCTTTCACACCACTCGTCTTTACACCATATGGATTTATCTCTGAACTAGCTTTAAAACTTTCAACAAAGAAGCAACTTGATTACAGTATTATAATTCACTGGCTTTGAATTAAATTATCTACAAATCTGATTAGGTCAGCAGTGTTGTGCATAAGAGGAACTAGAATAGTAAAGAAGTTGAACCATGATATAGACAATGCTCGAATTGTAAATAATTTTAATAGAATCAAATAGTTATTTAATTTTTCAATTTTTTCAATTTATTTTTCACCCATCACATGGGTTTTCAAACTTTTATATCTATTAAGTTAGTAATATTTTAGCATTTAGTTTTTCCAATAAAGTCATTATTTGCCACTTGCTCAGTGATTATCTGTGAATATTGACCTTGACTTTGTCCCAGCAGATATATAGATCTTATTAGACATTTTAGGGTGGAATAAGGGGTGGATATTTTTTTGAGATGAGAAAAAATGTCTATTCATATTTCCACCCTAAAATGTCTAATGAATTATTCATTATGCAACTGAACTGACTTTTTCCCCCCAAAAAAGGCTTCAAAATGATTTTTTTCTTTGAACTGCTCATTTTCACAACCATTTTTTACTGTACAAAATAGCCTAGGGTTCAAATATTGCAGGCTTTCTCTTGCATTACTTGTACTCTAATTTGAATAGTTGAATTATAATCACTTGCAATCACTTTTCTTCAGTGAATATTGTTAAACGTGAGCAGTTTTTCATATCAAAGATTATACTTATTCGTTTGTCTCATGATTGTTTGTTGGTTCTCTCCTGTGCTTTGAGGGTTTTCCCTGGGTTCTCTGGTTTTCCTCCCTCCTCAAAAATCAACTTCTAAATTCTAATTTGATCTTTGGGCTTTCACTTAGTTTGGAGCCTAGCTCTGTTGTGATTGTCCCACGCTGTGATACGACAGCGAAAAGCTTYGTAGATTTTTTTTTTAGATTTTTAGATCGTGGCATTTGGGAGATCTACRACATTTCAACTGTACTGCTAGTCTTCATCAGGCAGTGTTGTAGACTGGAAGGTGTTCTTAATTTTTTTTTTTTTTTTTAATTTTTTCATTTTCTCAGTATTTTTGATTTTCATTGACTAATAGATTATTGAAGGTATCAGTATTTACACAAAGTTTTCTCTATTATAATTGTGACTTGAAGTTGAATTTGTTTTTCAGGACAACATTGGAAGATCTGATGAATGCATTGCCAGTGAATCACTCTCCAACCACATGCGTTGCAATGACAGCATCGTCCTTGATTTATTCCAAGCACAGCATCGTTCATCTCTCGCATGCCCACAATGTGACCAGCAATCCACAACCTTCGACCCTTTCCTCTGCCTATCGTTACCGATCCCGCAACGCGAGACTCGACCAATATATGTCACAGTAGTTTTTGTAGGATCATCGCGTGCACCACTACGRATTGGTGTCAGTGTCCCAGTATACAGCAAAATTGCAGACCTTTCCAAAGCCGTGTCTGAAATGACGGAGATACCCACTGACAGACTCGTTATGACGGAATTAAGCTACGATGGCTTCCACAGGAGCTTTCAGGATCACCAATCCATCTCTATCATCCATGAGGGTGATAATATCTATGCATTCGAAGCTCCTAAGCAACTGTATCCTGATCCTGAGAGTTTAGGTGAAAAAACGCTCACTGTGCCGGACGACGATGGTGGTACAATCCAAGAATCTCTCATAATTCTTGTCACAAACTGTATTGGACAGGGCAAGAACATCAGAAGGTAACTATCGTTTTTTAGTATTCTATTGTTGATGCTGCAGTATATTGCCTCRCCTCTGGTGTCTCTGGTGCAGGAATCAAACCCGGAACTCAGAGGTAAGAGGCAAGTGGTCTGCTTTTAGTGGATTCTCACTAAGCTGTTTTCAAGCTAGTTTAAAAAAGAAGTTTTGTCAGTTTTTCCTGTTATTGCTAATCTTTATAGTTGAGATTTTTCTTGGTTTATCCTGGTATACGTTTAAAAAAAAAAAAAGCGCTTAAAAAATTCATACAATCACGATCCTAGTATGATGCCCACATGYCTACTGACAAGCCCACTTTGTTTTGACTGTCAGAATTTCAAACATATTGATCTCCATTTTCGAGTTGCGCTAGTCTCACCTTTAGATGAAACTTAGGAATATGGGCGTCATAGCAGACAAATGKGGGGGTTGAGTAGCGACATGAAATTTTGATGTGCTACCACAGTTTGGTGGGATTCGTAGTGATGACAAAATGTTTTAATAGTAGAAAGCATTTTTATAACAGCTGTAGGATGTTGTATTGTAGGTTTGGCCCTCCATTTGTATTTCACACTCTTAGAGAAGTCAGTTTTGCACAGTTGCAGTCTATATTCCTCCATGGCATGAAGAGGATACTACAAGATAATGTGAAAAAACAGGTAAAGAAATTGATCATTGTGTCATTTATTCATCCGTTYATCCATCCATCCCTCCTTCCTTTCTTACCTCCCTTCTACCTAACTCCATCCATCCATCCATCCAACCACACACTCACACACCCACACACCCACCCATCCACCCATCCATCCATCCATTCACTTTCTTCCTCCCTTCTCTCCTCCATCCACCCACCCTCAATCTATCTATGTAACAATGAATCCTCCCATCCATCTATCCAGGGGTCCACTTCACACTCATCCACTCACCATTGCTTCTACACATTAAGCCCTCCATCCACTGATCTCTATCTATCCTTCCTCCCATCCTTTTATTCATCCACTTCACACCCATCTGTCTGTCTATCAAGCCATTCCTTGCCTCMATATCTAGTGTACAAACCATTATTAACTTTTATCTCATCACTTTATCTTTCAGGCAAACAAGCAAAACCCATTGTTTGCCCTTCGCATCATGAATGGTCTCCAAGGGAAGTGTTACTTATCTCATGAGGTAGATCACCCCCTGTATCAAGCTACTGTAGATACGTAAGTTTAGCATAGGTTCAGAACACAGTCAATTCAAAAATCCTTGTCATCAATTGGCTCAAGCCTACGAGACTGGACTATAAGGGAATATGGGCAAAAAAATCTCTGAAGCGGTTAAATAYATTAGTAATAACATAATGATGGCGAGCAACAACCCATTTAATGTAGGTCTGGGTTTAGGGAAAGAAAAGCAAAGTATTTATAATTCAGTTTCCAATTTCTAAAATATGAAGGCATTAGAAAGGTATCTCCTTCAACACCTCCCCCTCGTCTACAAAGTTTTGTTCTGTTAACCAGTGACATAACTTATCAGATAAAATTAGGCAGTCAAGTGCTTCAATGATTTCTACCCAGAGTCACTGTCAGTCCAGTCGAGTAGGATTGAGTTGGTCGACAACAACATTTTTGAATTGACTGTATGTACTTCTTTACAGCATTTTGCGCAAGATTATGACTGGCGATAATGTATTCACATACTTTGATGCACAGGGTTTTGTATGTTGAGCTGACACGTCTCAATGGGAAGCTGGCTGGTTTTACTAAATAAGCTTTGTAAGAGCTTGTTTGGGCAGCAAAAAGCTTGTGCATAGAGGTATATGAATATGTAAGATGTGGTCATCCATATTTATGTAATTCTTTTTTATRTATTTATATAATATCCATATTATGTTCCCCAGAGCAGGGGGGGTTAGGATGCTTGAATTCATACAGGACTGAACAGGATCGTTCCATTTTTTTATTCTTGTATTCACACATAATGTTTTAAGTAATATATACAGTATGAGTGGCCGTCGAGAGTCAGCTACGCCTTGAGTTTATATATTGTACACAACATGGACACAAATATTGTATACTGCTCAACAAACATCTAGGTTAATTCCTTTGTGTTTCACTAAAATTTTCAAGATAAAAGTGAATCTGCCTAAGAAAATCCAAGTTAAAGTTTATGCAAATGAACTTGATTCTGTATCAGAATTATGAAACTCTTCTTCTATTGTGTCTTCCTTATGAATTATTTTGATAACTCATTAAATGAGTTTGTTTGGTACTGTTACAGGCAGGAGTGTTTTTAGACCTGATAAAACATGATCTGCGAATTTATTGAACAGCTTAAAAAATTGATGATGTATGTTCTCATATTGTACTGAATTCTTTACGAAATAAACCAAGTTTGATAGAGAAAATCCAAGTTAAAGCTTATGCAAATGAAGACGAATCTATATCAGATATAAAACCTCCTTCATGGCCATGATTTCTATTGTGTTTTCCTCATGAATTATTAATGAGTTTTCTAAATCAGATATAAAACCTCCTTCACGGTCATGATTTCTATTGYGTTTCCTTCATGAATTGTTAWTGAGTTTTTTAAACATATTTAGAGCCCTGAAGCATGGGGAAGACAATTCCGCACCCCAGCACATAAGAATGGTTATTGAATGGGAGCCAGAAACTAAAGAACGGTAAGTGATAGACACACAATGCATCCAAGATTTAAAGATTAGGTTTTGTGGTGCAGCATATTTAYAATGGGTCTTTGTTGTTACAGAATAAATGTCCATAACAGCAGGTTGATTTAATAGCATATGCACATCATGGGGAAAACAACTAGTAGCTTTACTCGTCCTCCTACTTGCTGTTACTGAATACCTACTTTAAATTAGTTATTTTTGTGTAGAGAGAATAAGAGAAAAATATCATGTCTTCAGTATTCCAGTCCGATGTGTTAACCACTACACCATAAAGACCAACCACGCTGGTAACGCAGCCGGAATATGAAATGTAGGGTACCTCATTACACACACTGAATGCATAATTTATTACTACTACACTGTCTATTCTTTGCATACATATTTACAGTGTTCAACTTACCTATAGAGAAAAAATATCACTCTGGGATCTTCACGAGTACCCTACATTTCATATTCCGGCTGTGTTACCAGCGTGGTTGGTCCTTGTGGTGTAGTGGTTAACACATTGGGCTGGAATACCAAAGGCATGGGTTCGATTCCCACCAAGGGCATTTGACATATTTTTTTCTCTTATTCTCTCTATTTCATTACACACACTGAACGCATAATTTATTACCACTACACTATTTTTGGGTATATTATTGTGGGTTTTTTTTTTTCCTTTTTGACCTGGCAGTTATGGACTTCTTCAAAGATACAGCAGCCATCTTGTATCGTCAGGCATTATGGGGCTGTCCAGGGGTCAAATAAAGCTTTGTTGCAGTAATGACATTGATTGAGATTAACAGCTTACCATGAGAGAATCGATCGGGATTACCCATTAAAGAAAGACAACACACGAAACTCTATTTATTTTCCATCATCTTTGTTTTGTTTTGTCCCCTGGCAAGATGGCTGCCATATCGTTGATGTATTCCATTGACTATGATGTTAGTGACCCTGCCATTTGTCTTCCGTTTAGATATATTTCATTACATGGCACTTTTATCATTTTATTATACTTAAAATAGTGTTAGTACTAAAAGGGACAATTTATTAAAAATAACAACTATCTGAAGGCAGGTGTCTATAAAGGACCACACAGGTCACAAAACCCTGAAGATTTCAAGGTCTTTGTGTCCTGCATGAAGGATTCCATAGCTATATCCTAAAAGTGTTGCCAGTTTTAATGTGTACTGTAATTTTTGTGTAGATGCGTCAAGTCTGACATCAATGGCCACCCTGAGGAGCATTCCAGCGTGCGAGAGATGGAGGCAGAATATGAAAACTCTCACACAGTCAGCTTGAATGACTGTTTCTCTCTCTACACAAAGGATGAAAAGGTACAAATATGATGTTAATAAACCACTTGCTCTGCTGGTAATAAATCTACTAAACATAGTCCCAAACACAAACTTCAAATTCAAATCTTATTTGTTACCTGAAACAGCCTCTGGGCTGATCAGAAGGGACACATGATTCTGAGATTGAAACTTTGAAATTTTGTGGTTGTCTAGTGTTTATAAGAACCATAGTTAATTAGCTGTTTCGAGGTCCAGGAAAAAAACTGGGTCATCTACTTTGTCTCCTAAAACAGTCCCACAATGCATTGTAATACCAACTCCAGTTTTTTCCTCAACCTCAGAATGGCTAATAGAGGACATCTCATATAGGGAATCYGATATGGTTTTCCACATGACCAAGACTGCTGCCACAACAAGATGGACGTTGTTGATCTTTTATTTGAAAACAATTTCAATGGTAATCCCTTATCTATTGACTATGGAAATGCTTGGTTAAAATAAATTTCAAAGAAGATAGTATATAAGCTCCCCAAAATATAAAATATTTAGAACTACCTGAACCTTTTGCCTGGGCCTGCTTGTACATGTATGAAGGGTGGATAGCACTATCTGATGGATAAATCCTGATATCCTTTTGTCCACTGGATAATATTTATTCATCAGATAACACTATCCACCCTTTGTACAACCAGACTCTGGCACACWTGTATGGCACACTTTTAAAAGTTTTGTTTTTTCTTAGCTTGGAGAAGAAGATGCATGGCTGTGTCCAAAGTGTAAGAAGCATCAACAGGGAACAGTAAAGAGATTGAGTCTGTGGTCCCTGCCTGAGGTTCTAGTGGTCCATCTAAAGAGATTCAGACAAGTGAGTGTAGTAGTCTGATAATTAAAAAATGGCATTTTTATAGGCCAGGAAGAAGCTATCAGGTATACTGAATGCTGAATATAGCAATTTCAGAAAAGATTCAAGCTTGCTTACCAAGCACAGAGGAAAACATACCGGAAAAACGTAAAGACAAAGTTTGGGAAAATTCCATATTGTTGTGACCTCGAATTGGCTGTATTTTCATTTGTTCAATGGTTAAAGTGTTGTATGCTGGACAGGTGTCCAGTTCAACTGAACTGCATATTTGAGTTAAGTTTGTTTGATGTGTTCTCTCCCTTGCTGCAATGKTTATTCTATGGGTTCTCTCGTTTTCCTCCCTCCATTAAAATCTACTTGTGACTTAAGAGTTGTGTGTAGTAAATAGTGAATGTAGTGGTAATGCATGTGGAGCAAACCTCATAAAAGAGGAATGCCTAGGAGCATTGTTTTTGTCAAATATGTATTTTTAGTATCRCCAGTATAGCCAAATATATGTGTCAAGTAATGTATTCACTGTAAAACATTATAGAACTTGCATGATCAGAGTTTTATTATATCTTCTAGATTTCTTCTGGAAGAACCAAACTGCACACCATGGTTGAATTCCCAGTCTCTGATTTAGACATGACATCACATCTTGAACCACGACGCAAGAGTACAACCGAGACGCTACCTGCCTGGCCAAGCTGGCGCAGAAATCGGCGGAGCTCTTCTTCTGGGAATGAGGATAATCTATACGATTTGTATGCTGTCTGTAACCACATGGGGACAATGTCTGGTGGACACTACACGGCTTACTGCAAGAACCCAACAGACGGACAGTGGTATCTCTATGATGACACAAGAGTTGATAAGCTGCCTGCAGCTAAAGTAAATTCTAATGCTGCATATTTGCTGTTTTATGCTCGCCGTATTGTTGGGTCGTCATCTGCCTCCGAGTCGTCTGGGTCTTCTGATCACTGGACAAGAAAGATACCTCAAGTTCTCTCTGAGTCGCTGGCTAGTTCTCGGGAAGAGCTAGACAAGGAGGAGTCTCCTCCAAGTAGGTATTGTCTCATCAACCTTTTGTTGATTTAAAGTGTCTGTCACCCTTCTGACAATATTCACAGTATTGAGTCTACATGGGGTAAGATGTCCAATATCCGAAAAAATTTTCTCACACACCACTGGGAGCTATTGTCCAGCTGACCGCCGCCAACTGACTTTCTGAATAACTCAACATATGCATTACTGTAATACATCATTCTTATCATCGCAACGTGGTTTCCATGAAAAACTACTCTAAAGTCCTTCCAGCAATGCTGGCCTAGGGTTGGGGGGGGG